GAACAGAATCATAATGTATTATGTTTTATGTTTGAAACTCCATTTACTAAAGAAGGAAAACCAAGAGGTAGTCCAGAAGAGCAATGGAAACGTAGAACAATTCTTACAAGTAGGTTTATCTCAATTTTATTTATGGTTTTATTTATAAATATATACTTTAATTTATATTGTATGATTTTAGCACAATATTCTTTCCCATATATTAAAAAACGTATTTTAGTAGTTGAAAAACGAATAATGGAACTGAGTCCAATTGAAGTTGCTTTAGATGAAATGCGACAACGTGTCCAAGAATTAGAAGATGTAGCTCTTATAGGTCCAACAGATGTAAAAAAATTACAATTAAGATTACAAGGAAGTATATGCGTTACTGTGAATGCTGGACCACTTGCATATGCTTCTGCATTTTTAGATCCTGCTCTATCTCCACAATATCCAGATGATAAAGTTGAAGAATTAAAAGATATCTTCAGGTATATTTTTTAAAAAATCTTATGAAATATACATATATATGAAATTATTTCTTTAAATATCCCATATTGATTTTTGATTATTAAATTATAATTTTGTATTATGCAATTTTTCCAGAGAATTTGTTAAAATATGTTATACTGCTCTTCAAATAAATAGCAAACTAATTACATCTGATCAACATGAATATCAAGAAGTATTACGTGAAAATTATCAAAAACTTTGTCAAAATTTATCTTCATTACTTGGAGAACCTATTTGGCCTGATGAACAAATTGGAAATTTTAAACGTAACAGCGCTGCTTTATTTAGTGCTATCAGTGGTGCTAATAATCATACAACTTAAAATAAAAAACTATTAAAATGAAATCACCTGCAATTAAATTAGCTTTATTTTCTATGCATTTTTTTTATATAAGTGAATGGTACAAATTGGGTCACATTAACCCATGATTAATTTGCATACACTAAAGCAATTTCATTATAAATAATGAATAAATGAATGTCATTACAATCGTAAGTAAGATTATTATTATATATTTACTTAAATTTCTTATAATCAAATTTATTTTTTTTTATATATTGCTGATATATCATGATATACTATTAATTTTATTTTTTTTTAAATTATAAATAAGAAATAACTAAGATTTTTCTATTTTTTTTTAATAGAATAAAAGAATACAAAAATATTACTCTAAAATATTATTAAAAATATTTAATTTAAAAAACATTTTAAAATGACATACATTGCTCTCTTTAATTAATGTAAAAATATTACTCATGGCCTATTTCTTAGAATTAATTCACTGCCATTTTCGTATATTTAATACATATTCTGTCTTTTTTAAATAATTGTGTCAATTGAAATTTTATATATAAACAGAAACAATAAGATGCAAAAAAATACTATTTAGATATTTTATTTCTATGAAAGATATATATATTAAAATTTTCCTAGTTGCAAGATTTATAATAATCTATATTGATATACAATTAAGAATATTATATATATATATATTTATTATTATACATTTAAATCTAGTTAAATGTAGTATATTTTGGTGTCAAGCACCTAAAGGGGCATTTATACATGTACAGAGTATTATTAAATATATGGAATCTTTGGAGAATAAATTCTAAATACTAAAAAAATATGAAAGTTGATATAAAAATTTAATATGATATAATATAATATGATTCGATATGATTCAATTAATTAATTTTAAATCGTTTATAAATTACTCGAAAAATAAACTTCAATCAATATTTTTAAAAATCAAGTTTTATATTTATCCTGGTAATTGATTATTTATCCAAAATCGATTTTTCAAAGATATTCTATGAGTATTTAATAACATTCTGTATATGTACATATTTCGTAAGAATTCGATGATTTGTATATTAAAATATGTTAAATGTGTAGAGCTTAATTTGTATATATTTGTATAATTTATTCTATATATATATATATATATATGTATTATGTAAAGAAGATGGAGCTAACAATTCTATATTTATTCAATTATTATTAATTGAAGGAGGAGGTTTATAATATAATGTATTACACGTGCACATATGCACATATCACAAATGTAAACAAATTTTAATATTTAAACTTTTATATAATTTTTTTTTATAAATTTATAAATTATGTCTTATAAAAAATTAAATTAAAAATAAAAAACAAGGTTTTATATAATAAGATTATTTAAATGCATGTGAAATATTTATATCTCCTCATTTTAATTAATAAAATTTTATGGACTATGTACTTAACAAGAAAGTATTTTTAATAATTAAACAAATTTTTGTTTTATATTGTACGCATATCTTCTTTATATAATTTTCTTGTGATAAATTTCTAACAGGGAGTAATATTTTATCATATTTACATATTAACTTGATATGATTTTTTTTAAAAATGTAAATAAGAACACAAATATTGAATTTTTACAACATACATAAAATATAGAATTAAATATTTAATATTTCATAAAATTGAATAGCTTATTATTTTTATTATATACAAAATATCATATTAGTAATAGTAAAAATTTTGTTTTATACAGATTTTATTTTTTATTTAATGAAATTTTATTTAATAAAATTTCATTTGAATTACATGTATAAAGCAATGCCGATGTTAATTTTGTTATAGATATTATTCGAAAAAATTTTTGCAAAATTTATGTATTATTGTATGTAATCAATTTGTATTGTATATGTAATTGTAATTAGTATATATAAAATATTACGTTTTAGAATTTATCTCATGTATGCAAAAATTGTTTATTGAATACACATTTTTTTATATATGCTTTATACATTTGCAATTTTGGTAGTACAAAACTGCTTATATAACACTGCAAATAAAAAATAGTATATATAATAAACGCACAAATATGCAATTACAAAAAAATGATTCATTTTGAAATTTAATGCAATTATATAATATATAATAATGTATTAATAATTTTTATATTTTATTCATTATTAAATATTTAATTATGTGATTTTTAACATTAATATTTTATTGACAAAATTACAATTTTATTATACATTTTATTATTAATTTGAGAATTTGCAAAATGGATGTACAGTTCTCATATTATAAAAAAAAAGACTAAGTGAGAAATTATATATTTCAATATGTAAATTACAAAATATTAGGCTTATAATAAAATTTAGTTATAAAATAAAACTATGAAACTATGAAATATTTGACTGTTATAAAACTTGTGTGCCATGGCATATTATTTCTTTTATTCAGACTGCACTTAGTGATTAGTTATAGTATAAATTAGTATTGCACAGATGAGTCTGAATATTTGGAAATACATGTTGTTATTTGTTTCAACTGATATAATAGATACTATTAGAAATAGAAATAATTATACTTAGTAAACTATAAATTGTTTATATTTTTACTTTTCTTAAAAAATAACTATGTTTAAGAAGTAATTATATTTCGTATATATGATAACATCTTGATTTTTCATAGTAGGAATTTAAATTAGATTAATTTTTAAAGAAATTCTTTTTTCAAGTGCAAATTTTAATTTTAATTATAATTTTATATAAATTTTAATTTTAATTATAATTTTATATAAATTTTAATTATAATTTTATATAAATAAATGAAGCAATAACATTATAAAATTCATTAAAATTTTTAAGTATACATATATGTTCAAATTATAATTATTAGTAATTAAAAGATCAAATATAT